ATATGCCAACAAATTGGACAACCAAGCAGAAATGGGTAAATTCCTAGAAACATATAACCTCCCAAAACTGAATCAGGAAGAAATATAATATTTGAAAAATTATCAGCAATAAAATTGAATTAGTAACCAAAAAACTCCCAAGAAACAAAAGCCAACGACCAAATGGCTTCACAGGTGAATTCTACCAAACATTTAAAGAAGAGTTAATACCCATTCTTCTCAAACTATTCCAAAAAATAAAAATAGAAAAGGAAGGAAAACTTCCAAATTCACTCTATGAAGCCAGCATTACCTTGATATCAAAACCAGACAAAGGCATCACTAAACAAGAGAACTATAGGCCAATATCCCTGATGAACACAGAGGCAAATATTCACAATAAAATACTAGTGAACTGAATCCAACAATACAGTAAAAGAATCATTTACCACAATCATGTGGGATTTATCCCTGCGTTGCAAGAGTGGTTCAATATTTGTAACTCAATCAATTAGATATATCATATTAATAAAAGAATAGGATGAGAACCACATAACCATTCAATAGATATAGAAAAAGCATCCATTCATGATAAAAATCTTCAACAAAGTGGATTTAGAGGGAACACACCTCAACATAATAAAGGCCATATATATAACAAACCCACAGCTAATATCATCCTCAAGGGGAAAAAACTGAAAGCTTTTCCTCTATGATCAGAAACAAGACAGGGATGTCCTCTCTCACCATTGTTATTCAACACAGTACTGGAAGTCCTAGCCACAGCAATCAGACAAGAGAAAGAAATAATAGGTATCCAAGTCAGCAAGGAAGAAGTCAAACTTACACTATTTGCATATAACATATTATTATATATAGAAAACTTAAAGATACCACAAAAAAAACTGATTAAACTGATTAACAAATTCAGTCAAGTCTTAGGATGCAAAATCAATGTACAGAAATCTGTTGCATTTCTATACACCAATAATGAAGCAGCAGAAAGAGAAATTAAGGAAACAATCTCATTTACAATTGCACAAAAAAGAATAAAATACCTAAGAATAAACTTAACCAAAGAGATGAAAAACTTGTACTGTGAAAACTATAAAATATGTATGAAAGAAATTGAAGATGACACAAAGAAATGATCCATGTTCATAGATCTGAAGAACAAATATTGTTAAAATGATGTTACTACCTACAGCAATCTACACATTTAATGCAATCTCTATCAAAATACCAATAGGTGGTGCACTTGGGTGGCTCAGTCAGTTGAGCAACTGACTCTTGATTAGGCTCAAGTCATGATCCCAGGGTTATAGGATCAAGTCCTATGTTAGGCTGCATACTGAGTGTGGATCCTGCTTAAGACTCTCTCTCACCCTCTCTAAGAAAATACCAACAGTATTTTTCACAGAACTAGGACAAATAATCCTAAGATTTGTATGGAATTACAAAAGACTGTGAATAGCTAAAGCAATCTTGAAAAAGAAAAGCATAGCTAGAGGCATCACAATTCCAAACTTCAAGTTATATTAAAAAGATGTAATAATCAAAACAGTATGGTATTGGTACAAAAATAGATATAGATCAATAGAACAGAATAGAAAACCCAGAAATATAACCACAATTATATGGTCAATTATTCTACAACAAAGCAAGAAAGAATATCCAAGGGGGAAAAAGACAGTCTTTTCAACAAATGGTATTAGTAAAACTGGAGAGCAACATGCAAAAGAATAAAACTGGATTACTTTCTTATGCCATTCACAAAAATAAAGTCAAAGTGGATTAAAGACCTAAATGTGAGACCTGAAACCATAAAAATCCTAAAGGAGAACACAGGCAATAATGTCTTTGTCATCAGCAGTAGCAACTTCTTTATAGATATATTTCCTGAGGCAAGGGAAAGAAAAACAAAAATAAACTATTGGGACTTCATCAAAATAAAAGCTTCTGCACAGTGAAAAAAAAAAAACCAAACAAACAATCAATAAACCTAAAAGTCAAGCTATGGAATGGGAGAAGATATTTGCAAAGAACATATCTGATAAAGAGTTAGTATCCAAATATATAAAGAACTTGTAAAACTCAACATCCCTGAAATGAATAAACCAATTAAAAATGGGCAGAATACAAGAATAGACATTTTTCCAAAAATGACCTATAGATGGCCAACTGACACATTAAAATGTAATGATGCTCATCATCACTGATCGCCAGGGAAATGCAAATCAAAATTACAATTAGATATCACCTCATACCTGACAGAATGGCTTAAATCAGAAACAGAAAAAAAGCAACAGGTGTTGGTGTGGTTATTAAGAAGGGGGAACCTACCTACTCTGTTCGTGGAAATGTAAACTGGTGTAGCCACTGTGGAAAACAGTATGGAGCTTCCTCAAAAAGTTAAAAACAGCACTATCCTATGATCCAGCAATTGAACCGCTAGGTATTTACCCCAACAATTCAAAAATACTAATTCAAAGGGATATATGCACCCTAATGTTTATAGCAGCATTATCTACAATGGTCAAATTATGGAGATAACCCAAGTGTCCATTGACACTGATGAATGGACTAAGAAGATATATATATAAATTATATATATAAACATATAAGTAAAATTATATACATTGGAATTATATATATATATAATTATATATATTGGAATTATATTATATATAATGGAATTATATATTATTCCATTTATATATACATGAATATTACTCAGCCATGAAATCTTGACATTTTCAATGAGATGGCTAGAGTTGGAGAGTAAAATGTTAAGTAAGTTAGAGATTTCACTCATATATGGAATTTAAGCAACAAAACAAATGAGAAAAGGGGGAAAGAAAAGAGAGAGAGGCAAATCAAGAAAAAGACTCTTAAATGTAGAAAAACAAATTGATGGTTACCAGAAGGAAGGTGTCTGGGGGATGGGTTAAAAAGGTAATAGAGATTAAAGAGTGCATTTGTTGTGATGAGCACAGGGTATTGTATTGAACTATTGAATCACTATATTGTACACCTGAAACTAATATTACACTGTATGTTAACTAACTGAAATTTAAATAAAAACTTTTTAAAAAAAATATTGGAAGAAGATAATCAAATAGTTAGATGTAGGTCATTGTCAAAGTCCTGGATTTTGCTCTCAGTGATGGATTTGCAGGTGTTTAAATTGCCAAACCAACCAAATAAATGAAACCATGTAACCTATATACCAATGTTGGCAATATGTCATAAAACAAGGGATATGATTAATAAAACTTGTGTGGTGTTCAAAAAGTAAAAATGTAAAATAGATTAGTGAAGCAGAGTAAAATCAAACAACACACTTAGGTATAAGAATATAACAAATGATGAAAATAACATTTTAAATCACTGGGAAAGAATGAACTATTTAACAAATATGTATGTATGTAGCAACTGGTTATTTACTATATATTATCTCACAACAAATGAATAGTCAATGGTATTGAACTGGCCTATGGTAAAAGACAGTAGCTACACTTATGGTGAACATAGCATAAACTATAGAGTTGTTAAATAACTATGTTGTACACCTAAAACTAATGTAACATTGTGTGTCAACAATATCAAGAAAATAGCAAATAAAACTTTAAAAATATTTTAATGTTTCAAAAAGCAAATAGTAAATTAAAATTTAAAAATAAAGGATAATGTAAAATTTAAAAAACTTAAGTCACTTAATATGCTTTTGGGACGAACCTCTAAACAAGAGAAACATGTATCAACTATAGAGAAAATGATTAGCAGATGTCACTAATAAAATTTTAAAACATCTGTATGAGAATACCATAAATAATGTTTCAAGGAAAGGGATAGTTTAGAAGAAATATATTCACCTTATATAATAAAGGATTGATCTATAGGATACATGAAGAACATCTGAAAATCATATAAATGACCTAATTTTAAAAAAAAAGGAAAAATGTATGTATAATAAAGCCATAGGAGAAAATTATAAATGCTCAAACATCTATGAAAAATGATCAATTTTCTAGTTATCAGATAATTCAAATTAAAAAGATATATATTTTTTTACGACATTTTATCAAAAGATAAAATTGTGGAGAAGGGTTTGTTGTGTCTTGGTAGTCTATGGAAGGGCAATTTGTCAATATCTATAATTTTAAATGTAAAATAAAATACCCTCAAAGTCTGACACTAATAATTTTAGGTATCTATCAGTATCAACAAGCTATCTTTTGGTTGTGCTGACCTCAAATGGTTTAGGCAGAAAAAGGAAATTTACTGTTTCACATAACTATAAAGTCCAGGGGTATTTCGGGCTGGCATCACAAACATCTTGTTTCAGGGATTGACATTAAGTCAATAGGACTTTCTTCTCTATCTACTTCTTGTCTCTGCTTCCTTATTTTGGCTCCATTCCCAGTGGTAGCAGAAAAGTGGCAGCAGTTTCCACATTGTATTGTATCCAATAGTCAGTAGAAAATAATGTCTCTCTTCGTTCTAAATTAAGCAAAAGCCATGATTCTCATGGGATCAAACAGGTCATTATCAATAACATGGAAGAGTCATGGAGGAGATTCCAACAAAGGTCATTTTGATTTTGTTATTTAAATAATATACAATGGATATTAGAAGGTTCCATACCTGGAAGTGGTCACTACCTTGTAGCAAAGAAAGACACTCAACCATAAAAAAGAAGAAAACCCTGCCATTTACCACAACATGGATGGCCCTTTAGGTTCCTAAGCTTAGCAAAAAAAAAAAAAAAAAAAAAAAAAAAAAAAAAAAAAAAAAAAAAAAAAAAAAAAAAAAAAAAAAAAAAAAAGTCAAGCAGAGAAAGACAAGTATCTTCTGATCTCACTTATATGTGGAATCTAAAAGACAAAACAAAGCAAAACAAAACCCATGGTTGCCAAGAACAGAGTGGTGGTTACCATGACAGAGAGGGGTGGGGAGTGGGCAAGATGGATAAAGGGGATTTGGAGGTACAGACTTCCACTTATGAAATGAATAGATCATGATGTGGTGTGCAGCATGGTGACTATAGTTAATGGTAATGTAGTGCACATTTGAAAGTTCCAGGAGAGTATGTCTAGAAAGTTATCTGAAACAGTGGAGCCAGAATTTACAACCAAGTTAGAAAAAGAACAAGGATATACAAAGCCTGAAGGGAGTAGAGATGGAGGAAGAGAGACTGAGAGTCGCTGAATATTACCAGGGTATTGATAAAGGAGTTTGACAAGAAATAAATACCAAGATTTCTGGGTCTTCAGATGTGCATTACCTTTAATATGTGGCAAGCTCCCTGGCAAGCACTGATGCTATTCAGCAGGCAATATCTCTCCACGTGAGTTACCTTCAACACCATTGCTTTCTATAGCTTTCTTGACTTGTGTTTCTTTACAAATAGAAGTAAATATGAACCAATTCACCCAGAAGATAAATTCCTACTCTGAGAAAAAAACTTCTGTGGGTAGGTTCCTAATTAAACAGGGAGAGAACACTGGAGGTAAAGAAGTTTCAGGTTTTACTATGAGACAGGATGAGATCTTGAAATCTTGGTGGAAATTACCATAGAAAGGAGCCATATTATTTCCCCAAATATATTAGTTTTGAGAAATCTCAAAGTATAGATCTTCCACTAAAATGACAAATTGTTAATATTTTGCCCCATTTGTTCCTCTCCCCATTCCCCACTTGGACACATACACTTTTTTCCCCTCAAACCTTTTGAAAGTAGGTTTCACATATCATAATATCTTTACACTGAATAATTCAACAGGAATCTTCTAAAAATAATCACATTCTCCCACATAAAACTTTTATTTCACTTTATCATGACATACTGTCTAATATATGGCATATTTAAATTTCCCCATTGTTCCAATAATGTCTGTTTAGCCCTTACTACATAAAGTGCAGTCTGCAGATTGGGCAGACACTTTATTACCTGGGCGCTTGTTAGAAATGCAGAACCTCAGAGTCTACTCATTTAACAAGATCCCAGTGGCTCTAAACACATTCAAGTTTAAGAATCACTGTTGTATCTTTATTTTTCCCCTTTCAAATTTGGGATCCAACTGAGAGAATCACACATAGAATTTAGGTGCCTTACCTCTTTAGTATTCTTTATTGCAAAGTTCCTGACATTTTTAGTCTAATGACAGTGAATTTTTAAAGAATCTAGGCCAATCATCATATAGAATGGCCCATATATGTATTCATCTAATAGTTTTCTGATTAAAATCATGAGTCCTCCAATTATCCAAAGATATTGCAAGTCTTTAGCTAATACTTATTCATAAACCAAGATTCCCTCTATCTTCTCAGGACCATCTATAATAATAGTGACTGACATTTACGTATGCACTTTTACACATATCTTATTGTTCTCTACAATCCTATAAAGAGTCAATATAATTAGACTTAATTTGACAGAAGAAAGAGCAGCATGGTGAGGTCTGACAACTGCTCAGAGTCACCATTATGAAGTGGTGCAATGCTCTGAGCAACAACTACAGCCGAGTGCTTTCCCTAGTGTGTTCCATCTGTGAAAACTTCCAAAATTTCAAGATGTAAACGGAGGAGGAATCAGGAATCTGGTGATCATGGAAATGACAATACACTTTAATCACAAAGTGACATTTATCCTATCTTTACTCACTAAAAATGTCATTCAAAAGTCATTAATTGTTTTGATAACAGAAAAGATTAATATCTATTTTCCTCTGAATATAAACTTTGGTAAGGAATGAGACAACAGATGCTTCAGAGCCTGGCTTGGGTAATCTTTTCTTTGTTTAAGTGTGTGTTTCCTGGGATCTCTCCTTGAGGGATTATTGCATGTGGTAGCAGCTCAGGTAATGCACAAGCAGTAAATAAGAAACAGTTAAACACTAAAATCTGCTTTGTGACCTTTTGTGTGAATTGAATGCCTCCAAGCTTTAGTTTCTAAGTCAATGAAGATAATATATCTCAGGGTAATTTTCAGGATTAAACTAATACTACAGTAGGCAAGGTAGAGATACATATTATTTTTAAAGACTAAAATTTTATCTCCATGAGGTAATTTTAGTCTCAGTCTCTGGAGCCTGAGAGATAGTAGAATGAGATGAGATGAAAGCTAAATTCCGTAGAAAGGAAGAGCTTCAATGGGGAAAGGTCCTCTAGGCAATCCTTGATCTAAAAGTCATCCATTGCCTCACTAGAAACCAAACCTCTTTAGTATAGCCACAGAGAGCACCCTTAAGGCTTTTCTGGAAATTGTCAATAGGCAGAAGACATTAGTAAAGCTTCCTGACATTTAGGAAGAATTGAACCTTATATTCCAAACAGCACAAGTGTGGGCAGTAACAATTTGGCAATTTGGTAATAACCAGAGAATTAAAAACATAATTGATAGAATCTGAAGTTGAAAAAGCCTCTGTACCTTGTACAGATGTGACTTTGTACTTTGTGACTATGAATACTTAATATTTAACTAGTGCCTATCCTGTATAGATGCTTTTATAAGTGCTGTAAACATATTGGCTTATTGAATTATCAAAGAATTCTAAGAGGTAAGCTTACATTATTATTTCTATTTCACAGATGAAGAAACTAAGACACAGAGCTCAGTTCACTGAACTAGTAAGTGGTACAGATGAGCTTAAAACCCCAGTTATGTTGCCTTCCCCAGTACTGTCTGCAGTGTCTCACACTTTAAAAGGCCTAACACTTGAGCTGTGGACAAAGATGCTGAAACTCTATGCAGTACATAAGTCAAGGCAGATAACAAGGAAATGAACAATCTGACATGGAATGTTTGGAAATGGAGGATATTATGGGTCAGAGAATATGATGACAGAAATTAAAGACCGATCCAGATTGGGGATGGGGGGAGAGAAAGAGAGAGAAAAGAAAAGAAAATTTGGACAGTAGGCATACAATGAGGCCATGCACTCTGGCAGAAGGCTTCTTTGCTATTGAGTATTCTCCACTGAGGAAGCATGATAGTCATGGAGGTCATATTGTTGGTGCTCTGCCCATATTCCTTTGACTGGCTGATGCACCACCCCAGCTACCGCAAATATTGCCTCTTTCTCTAAAGAATTGCTTCTACCAGGCAGGAATGCACCCCACTTCAGTCCCAGTTCCTTTAGATCATTTTATTGTGGCCAGTGACTGAGCGCTTGAGGGGGTGGCAAAGGCTGCCTCCCCTGCCCCAAACTAAGATGAAGACTATTAGACTTGTTCATACTTCAGAGCTTCATATTGGGAATAAACTGAAGTGAGTCCAAACCTGAGACATAATTGTTAATTCACTATTTCCAGTGTCTTACCCGGCTCTTACTCTTCTATCAGAGTCCAGGAAAGTAAAACCATAAAAGCAACTATTTTAAATGTCACTACTGCTATAACTTGCCATTCTTCTGGCAAACTGTCCTTTACTATTTTCTGCTACATGATAATTTGCTTTCATCAACAAAATAATAAGTTCAGCTACTATTTTTTAGATTACTTATTAAGCTCCAAGCACTGGGATAAGCACCTAATACAGTATCTCTTTTAATATTCTTAAGAAGCCAAATGACCACTCATGGTCACTTAGCTGCAGAGCCTGACTGTGAACCATGAACATTTACTTCAAATTAGTGCCCTGCTCCCTGTAGTATAAAACTTCTGTAGGCAGAACTGAACTAATGAAAGTACTGATTCTCTTTGGAATATGGAATAGTTATAGTTTTGGATGTACCAGAGGAGCAATGTTAAGAGTGTTATTCTTATAAAGTTTTATACCAGGTATATATTTCCTGCTGTTTTCAATGATTTTTGTTAAGTTCAAGTATATGTGAAAGATTTAAAAAGAACCATTGGGGGTACATTGAGGATTATCTCTAATAACTTCATAATTGTTTGTATTGTTATCCTTTCTTGAATGGGAGACAGACTGTAAGCTACAATCTTACTATCTATGCAACACAGCTCAAACAATTGGCACCCACTTCTTTGATGTCTATGGTGAGGGAGATGTGCAGGATACTTTCTTAACTAAATTCACAAAAGCATGTACCTGTTATGAAATCAAAGGCAACTAGAATGAGATAATACCATGGAAAAATAAGTATTAAATAATATGTGTTAAAAGTCAGAAATTCTAGGGGGACCTGGATGGCTCAGTTAAGTGTCTGGCTCTTGGTTTCAGCTCAGGTCATGATCTCACAGTTCATGGGAGCAAGTCCTGCAATGGGCTCTGCGCTGACAGCCTGACGGCATGGAGGCTGCTTGGGATTCTCTCTCTCCCTCTCTCTTTGCCTCTCTCCTGCTTGCTCTCTTTCTTTCTCTCTCAAAATAAACATTTAAAAAGTCAGAAATTCTATCCATTATAATTTTAACAAAATAAATTATGTGCTTATCCTGAAATAATATAAAATTGTTCATCTTAAGAATACCTGTGGAATAGAAGTCTGGGGGCGGGAAAGACCTTTCTGAAGTTAATAACTTTAATTTAGATTAGACATGATATTACTTATCCTCTTAAGTACTTATTTGGGACTGATTTTATTGTTCACATGCTCACAGTAAATATTTTTTATGAGTGCTTCATCAAAAAGAAAATATTTCTATGGGGCTGTTTACTGTACTTCCTCATGAAAGCTTTTATAATTCTATGAAAAAAATCTGTGTATGCCAGGAATGTCAGACATATGAACATCTTCCTCCATGAGTCATCATGACAATGGGTCAGAAACATTGCTGTATAGGGGGTTATAAAGTATTGTAAAGCAAAGCTGAAATGGACTTTATGTTTATGATGTAGCTAGTGTGCTCACTTTTATTCTTAATTCAGTTTTTTAATGCCTTATGTCAAATAAAAAAATCATAAAAAATAAATCATTGCAGGATCTACATACCTATTGTCACCGGGGCCCCACCACTTTTCTCTACTTATGGCCTTGGCTCCTCTGGCTTTTTTTGACTTTCATATTTCTTTATTCTTGTTTTTCGTTAGTGTTTCTGAGATAAGATAGCATTCTATTTGTATTTGCTAATAACATTCCACATAAAAAAAAAGATGCCCACATAAGTTGCAAAAGGAAAATAACTTCAGCAAAGATGTAACACAACTGCTCTAGTCCTCTGTCCAAGCCAATTTAGACCTTTCTAAAATTAGAAGCTTTGGTTTGGATTAGTAATGATATTATTTAGCCTTTTAAAGTAAATATTTATTTGGGACTGATTATTATTCACACTGTTGAAAGTGACAACCTCAAAATCATGTGGGACTTTTCTTAGTCAGATGTTTGTGTACAGAATAACTGTCATAGTCTGTATGTTTGTATTTTTTGCTCAGACCAAATAAAAACTATGGTTTTTCATTTGTAATGCAACCATTCATTGCTGTATTTTATGTAATTGAATTTTTATACTATTCATAGTATTATGTTGTGTTTTACTTTATTATGCAAAATGTTAAAATTGTTTTATAACCATATTTATATACAAGTTATTCCATTTGTTCCAAACTTTAATCTGGATCCAAACATTCAGTTTAACAAACAATATGTAAATATTAAACTAAACAATTTTGAGAAAATCATTTTTATGTTTAGCTGATTTCACCTGAGTGTCCAAATATGATTCCAGTTTGTTGTTAGTCTGTTTGTCAAAGCATGTCATTGCGTATTCTGACTGCCTTCAGGACAAGCTGTGAAATGTCTAGATTCCAGAAAAGCAGACTGTGATCTATTCTCAACAGCCCCTCCCCACCTTCTGCCATCAGCTCTTATAAAGCAGTGATCAGAACTTAGCTAACTCACGGGGCGCCTGGGTGGCTTAGTTTGTTAAGCGTCCGACTTTCGCTTAGGTCATGATCTCGCGGTTTGTGGGGTCGGGCTCTATGCTGACTGCCAGCTCAGAGCCTGGAGCCTGTTTCAGTCTGTGACTCCCTCTCTCTCTGACCCTCCCCTGCTCACGCTCTCTCTCTCTCTCTCCTAGAAATAAATAAAACATTAAAAAAAAAAACTTAGCTAACTCAACTTAGGTAAGATGTCAGGCTTCACAATAGACTAATAGAAACAGACTAATTTTACAAAACAAATCCCCAAGCTTGTGCTATGTGCCTGGATTTTGAACTTGATCCAGAAGTTTGTGGTGTACATACAAAGGTGTACACACACACACACACACACACACACACACACCCCTACACTTTAAATTCTTTTTAGTGTCTTCCAATAAAAACCATAAATTAGTCCATTAAAAAATCCTGGGCATTTTAAGGTACAATTTCAATTCCATAGAAATAAACATAGAGAAAATGGACAAATCCTAAGTATAGAGCACAATCTATCTTCTTCTTGTCTCTCCCCACCAATCTTACTGAATGAGCTCCTCTCAGCTACCTGTGTGGTCTTCCTAAAGTAGTTTCATCCTCATAGCTGATATCTACAGTGAGGCCCACTTTACCAACCAGGTCACCTTAGTAGCGATGAAGCCACACTCTCCTTCTACATAATCCTGTACTTCCAGATTCCCCACTAATTTTATCCTTTTCTTAGTTCATGACCAATGTCTATTATAATAGCTCCATACTACAGACTACTCTGTTTCAGACACTTTGCATTCATTACTTATTCTTATACCATGGTGCATATAAAGGTTACTATTCCCATTCTGCATAGAGCCTGAGAGAATTTAAATCAATTCCCCACAATCCCACAACTGGCATGAGGTAGGTGTAAGCTAAGGACTCATTTTGCCTGACTAAAACCTAGGCTTTGACCATTATACTCTTTTTTTAAAAAAAATTTAATTGTTCTTGTATCCCCAATGCCTAACACATGCTCAAAGAAGTATTTAATTTGAATTAAATGATCTCAGTCTCTTACTTGTGAACACCCGGTTATGCAGCACAGAAAACAGCAGAGGACTGTGCAAAAGCTTCACAACATTCCATAAAGCAGACAATAAAATGCCATAAAACTGAAAAATGAAGAGGAAGCGGTCCATGGTTTCTGGAAGAATTTATCCCAAGGCAATGTTGAACATGTCGAAGAATGTTTTCATCAAGGATAATCTCAGTGTTAGAAAAGCAATTCCCATTGCTGACAGTGAGGCTGTGCTAAAAATTGCATTTCCCACTCCCCACTTTCAGCTCCTCTTTATTTCATGTACTACCACATGTGGGTAAGCAAATCGCAGCAGTTAAAGCCAGCTGCATGCCACTTACATCTGCAAAAACAGTGGGTTCTCCAGGTGAGCTTCTTGCTCAATCCACCTCTTTAATCCATCCCATGGAGAGAAAAATGAGACTGACTCAAGGATGAAATTGTTACCTTGCCTCATTATACTATTCTCATTAAATTGGTTATTTCCACATTATCACAATGGAAAATATCCAAGTTGAGTATCCTCTCCTAGCTGGCTTCTCTAATTTGCAGGGCAATTATTGATTTTTTTTTTTTTTTTTTGCCTCAGTGGGAAACTTATATTGCCTAGGAATTTAAATTCTGGCAAAGTACTTGGAGGGGTGAGGAAACAGTCATACTAAAGATAGGCAGAACTTGAGATATTTTTGTTTTGCTTTCTTATTATGGGAGGATAATGGTTTTTATATTAAGAATATCATAAATATAAATTACATTGTTTAATAATTCCTACATCAATCACTAAAACAACAAATTACTTGAGCTAAGTGTAAAATTTCTTATTTACTTGGAATGGGACTGTAAGTGCTCACAAATATTTTTTATGTGTTTGTGTGAATATGTATCCACATTTCCAGGGCATAGCACATCCCAGCATAAGGGACAGATTTCAGAGGGAGCACCTGCTTTTCTTTGCTCTGCTTTGCTTCACTTCTCTATAGATGGAGAGAGGGAAGGAAGGGGATAAGATAAACTAGAGAGAGAGAGAGAGTGAGAGAGAGAGAGAGAGAGATAGGAAGGGAGAGAGGGGGAGGAAGACAGAGACAGGGAGGGAGAGAGGGAAGAAGAGAGAGTTTTGCAGTGACTGAGATGATTTTTTAAATTGGGACTGCAAAAAAACCCAAAAATATTTGTTTAAAAAGGTAGGACCCACACTCTGGAATGGTAACTCTGTGAGCTTTATTTTTAGTGCTCTGTGCAGCAGACTAAAGGGGTGTATATAATGGGTTATCTGCCATCTCTGGCTCTTCACTAAGGAGCTGGTGAGAATCTGTGTTGTCATGGAATAGTCTCAATGCTCATCGCATGTGGATTTTCTTTTGGGAGTTCTACATTATTTTTATTCCACATGACATAATTGGGCAAAACCATCCAGTTCTTGCTTTAAAAACTTTCATTACTAGGGCTAATCATTGTTTATTCAGTTATGCAAAGTGAATCAATTACTGTGTGACCATGAGCCAATTGCCATTTGTTCTCTAAGCCTTTACTCATCCATAAAACAATAACAATGCCTATGTCTTAGCATTGTAAAAAAGAAATACAATAATATCTTTAAGGTGCTACATATGAGGTAAACATTAAAATATTAGCAATTAGTTAAATATAATTTTCCCACAACATGCTATATTTCTCTATTAAGGCACTCATCTTACTTCATCATAATGGCTCATTTATCTTCCCTTGTAGACTATTAGCTATAAGAGAGTGGCAATAGTGTACAAATAACTTCATGAAATAATAATAACTTCACGAAAACCTAGCGGCTGAGTTAATTAATGTCTGATTATTGGATTTTTATTAAAGGATTTCTTTGGGCTATTTCCTGTCTGTATTTTCTATACCTCTTGGCTATGGCTAGAAATACCAACACTTTGTTTTTAAACTCAGTGTTGGAAATGTTACATGAAACAATGCCATATGTTCACCAAACCATTTGATTTTCCTCCTTGGCATACAATATGACTACCACGTATAGACCTCTTACAACTGGATGAGATCACACAGAATATGGATGAAAGCAATAGCACTTCAGGTCCTGGCCATGACATGTCACATATAGCCTCCCTACTCTGTCTATCCTTACTTTATATTACTTTTTAAAATATTTATTTGTTTTGAGAGAGAGAGAAAGAGAGAAACAGAGAGAGAGGGAGACAGAGAATCCCAAGCAGGCTCTGTGCTGTCAGGGCAGAGCCCAATGTGGGGCTCAAACTCAAAAATCGTGAGATCATGACCTGTGCAGAAATCAAGAGTTGGAGGCTTAAGTGAACCAGCAAGGTGCCCCTATATATTTGCATTTTAAAGCTTTGAAAAGAGTTCAAGATGATGGGGACACATAAGAAAACAGTTTAGATCCCCAAGTCACAGCTTATAGGAGAACCGCTCAAGGGACAGAGATATGAAAACAAGTTATACTTTATTGTGTTAAGTGACTAAATTGTCAAGTTCATTTTTACTACATTTTTCCTAGACTATACTGACTAATACATTATTTTAAGATGGGAGATTCCATTTTGGTGTGAAGAGTCATTTTCTGTTTGGTACGAAAATAAAAAGTAGAAGAAATGGGCAGAAGACATGAGCAGACACTTCTCCAAAGAGGGCATTCAGATGGCCAACAGACACATGAAATAATGCTCAGCATCCCTCATCATCAGGGAAATACAAATCAAAACCACACTGAGATAACACCTCATGCCGGTCAGAGTGGCTAAAATGAACAAATCAGGAGACTCTAGATGCTGGCGAGGATGTGGAGAAAACGGGCACCCTCCTGCACTGTTGGTGGGAATGTAAACTGGTACAGTCCCTCTGGAAAACAGTGTGGAGGTTCCTCAGGAAACTAACCATAGAACTCCCCTAGGACCCAGCAATAGCACTGCTAGGAATTTACCCAAGGGATACAGAAATGCTGAGGCATAGGAGCACATGTACCCCAATGTTCATAGCAGCACTCTCAACAATAGCTAAAACATGGAAAGAGCCCAAGTGTCCATCAACGGATGAATGGATCAAGAAGATGTGGTTTATCTATACCATGGAATGCTACATGGCAATGAGAAAGAATGAAATCTGGCCATGTGTAGCAACATGGATGGACCTTGAGGGTGTTATGCTGAGCGAAATAAGTCAGGCAGAGAAGGACAAATATCATGTTTGCACGTATAGGAGGATTAGGAGGAGCTTAACTGAGGACCATGGGGGAGAAGAAGGGGGGAAATGGGAAAGGGAGAGAGGTAAAACATGAGACACTCTTGAATGCTGACAAAAACTGAGGACTGATGGATGTGGGGGAGAGAGGGGGGATGGGCATGGAGGAGGGCACTTGTGGGGATGAGCACTGGGTGTTATGTGGAAACTAATTTGACAATAAACTATTTGTAAAAAAAAAAAAAGATATGAGAAAAAAAAATTCAGTGGTGAACAAGAAAGGTCCTTTCCCTCAAGGAGTTTATTTTTGTAAGGGGCATATACTGCAGAAAATTTAAAATAACAAATTTAAAACAAAACACCAACTATCATTGAGTGCTATGGTGAAAAATAAAGCAGGGATGTTGTCTTATTTTAATGGTATCCTCAATACATAAGAACACTGGCACATAGAAGATGCTGGAGGGAAGGAAACAATGTGGGCTCTGTGGGGGGAATCGCTGTCCCTTATGGCCTCATTTCAGAGCTCAGGACATTTATTGAGCCATATTTTGTGGATAGAGTGTTGACTTAAAAGACAGACTCCAGGGTCACATGGGTGGCTCAGTCAGTTAAGCATTCAGGTTTTGATCTCAGTGCAAATCATGAGTTCACAGTTTGTGAGCTTGAGCTCTGCATCAAGTCCCACATTGGGCTCTGCACTGACAGTATGGATACTGCTTGGAATTCTGTCTCTGCCTTTCTCTGCCCCTCCCCTGCTCATCCTCTCTCTCTGAAAATAAATAATTAAACTTTAAAAGAAAGAGACAGATTCCAGACTAGGCACTAAGGTATTGGATGCTTATCCACTTGTTAGTAATTCTGGATCTTACATTGCCTTTTCATCTACTTTAATTTTTTATTCATTTCATATTATTTTTATTTTTGTCCTTATCTTCTGGGCACAAATACACACTGAATTTAGAGACTACATCTTGTCACATATTATTCTTTTCTTTATATCTATAAAGTATAACCAATGTTTCTTTAGCCATGCTATGAGTAAGAATAGGTCCATAATGACAACAATATCTCTCTGGTTGCAGGTATTTAAGAATTATTAGTGGGTTGTCTCTTATGAGCTCCAAGTTTTGCCATCAAGTTTTTTTTCTTCTGTTTTCCCCCATTTTCTGTTCTGGCTTTGTGGTCACATTCTTGTCACTTCAATAATAAAAGCCAGAACCATATTTCTCCCCTGCTAAAATAACAGCCAAATCCTGTGAGTGGTGCTCATGTTGCCGCTCATGCCCCTGTGTCCATAGCGAGAACACTGCTGCTGGACGGGGTCTGATCAGGCAGCACTACCTTCAGCAGGAACTGATACTAATCTTCCTTCCCTGCCATAAGTTTCCATTGTTCTGGAGTCAAATCAATACTCTTTCATCCTTCCTCTTTAACAGAGGTTATTACTTGACATTTCCTTAGTTACTTACCAGTCCATCAGACAATGAAATGGATTTGAATTGTAAAGATATCTTTAGTTTTCTAAAATAATTTTATGTTTCAGAGATAAAGTCATCATTCTGGTATTCCTGACTTCCCCTGACCCAGTTTGGGGCACATAGGAGGCCCATGATGAGTGAAAACAGTTATTCTTATGCTTTTTTGTAAGGGATAAAGTGTAGCTTTTGACAAATATGAGTCTTAGCATGCTGCCTGTGGATTTGTGTAGAAATAACTGTGGTTCTAAAAACTTGGGTGCACTTTGGAACCCCCTGCATGGCTTTATAAAAATGCAAACATCTGGACTCCATTGTAGATCTTATATTTGAGAATCTTTATGATAAACATAGGTAACTTATGTTTTTCAGATCCCCTCCGGTGATTCTAGGTCTACCTACCCAGAGATTGCATTTGAGAACCACTGTACCAAGGTAATATAGTATTCAACTGCAGTCTACCAACATTGATGAAGCACATACTTCTTGCTAAACATTAGGCTACATGATATGTATACAAACTGAGTAAGTTAGATCCTGTCCTCAAAATGTAATGGGGAGTGAGGTCTGAACTGTAAACGGACAATTAGAATAGGATATGATCTTGAAACAAGACATTTCTACAGCTGTGCTCATTTTCATCTCTCTCCCATGGCCGCTTTTTCCTTTTGGCCATAGAATCTCAGCATCATGGACAATTATCATGGAAACTCAGGTAACCTGTTTCCTTAAGGAGTGTCTAGGTTATTTTTCAGAAAATAGCTTTATGAGACATTGTTTTTCTAAGCTTTCCCTTTCTTCCTAAGATGATAATAAATCTGGCTGAGATTAAAGGTGGAATATACTCTATTTTTCCCTATTTTTATTGCTTCGTAAGACAGTTTGAAGTTCCAGTACAGCTATTTAGAGAGGACTCATTTAATTTCCAGTTTGTTTGTTTGTTTACATTTGTTTCTCTATGTGTGAATGTGGTGGACAAAGCTTCATGAAATCACCCTAGCTAAAGCCTAGAAACACTTAGTGGATTTTACTCTGATTGCTGCAGGAGGTCACCACTGGATGGATATGCCACCCAAAGCAGTTTTTACTTTTAGCATCCACTCTAAATCATGTCATGCACCTCAGAATAAACCCCCCTCCACCACCACCACAGCAACCCAACTGTTTCCATGGAAATTCTCTGCTAAACCAGGGAGCTGGTTTACTGAATCCTTGACAGGGGAGACAGCAGAGGGTGGTGGATAAAAACTCAGACTCAGGAATCAAATGACTTCAGTTCAAATCTCAGTATGATACTGGCTGCCTAGGCCACTTTTGGCAAGTTCATCTCTCTGAGCCACAGTTTCCTCATCTGCAAAATGGGGATGAGGCTGTGTAAAGTGATATTGCTGAGAGGACAAGGTAATACACAGAAAGCATAATAAATGATTGCCATTTGTGATAGGTGAGAAAATGCCCCCCTAAAGATGTCCACACCCAAATCCTTAGGACCTGTGAATATGCTACTTTACATGGGAAATCAAGCGATGGGCCTGCGTGCTGTTAAGGCTAGGCAAGAGAAACATTTGTCAGTGGTGGGCTGGAGCAGCCTGTAAAGATTTACATCATGGAAATCATCAAATGCTACACCAAAGATTCCCCCTATCCTACCCAAAGAACCCATTGTGAAGCATTTGCCAACATAACCATCATTTAGTTTGCAACTAGTCAAAAGAGTTTGATTCTAACTGGTATTTGATTCTACTCAAGACTAACAGGGTCAGAGGAACTAGCTACTACACCAACTCCTTCCTAGTGAAAAACACTTTTGTTATGATGATCTCCTCTCATCCTGATAGCTGCCCTGGGGAAATGATATTGTTATTCACTTTATATAAACCAGGTGAGGTTCAGCAACATGAGCTGATTGTCCAAGATCATACCATGTAATGGAGCCAGGACTCTCAGAAGTTATCCTGATGTCCAAACTCCTGTTGTTTTTCTTTTTATACTGACGGCTGGCACACTGTGTGGTGCATTACTGTGCTGAATGGATATGTGTTGAATAAATAAAAGATTACATGTGCCGCCAGTTTTGGAGCAGAAGAAATAGAAAATAATTTTCCTTAGCTAGTTTAACTCTCTTGAAAAAATGAACAGGGCTAAAATTAGACTAGATATTCAGCCCAAAACTAACTCTGTGAAATGGGAAAAGAGAATTGTCTTCCCGTGGCGACTTTGTGCTAGTCAGTGTGCTAAGTGGGACAAAATCACATTCATCATCTCCTCTAAGGCAATCAAAAACCCTGCTGACTTGTGATTATCATACACTTTTTACATAAAAATGAGACTCTGAGAGGCTACATGACTTGCCAAGTTCTTGCAGTCCATGAGTGGCTTATTAGAGATTCAAACCTTGGGTATGTTTGCCTCCAAAGTCTGCCTGATCCCACTGTGCTATACCAAGAAAAAACTGGGAGTCTTCAGTCAGTCATTCACTGTTGCTCTGGGCATGCTTGCCTTCTTCCTTCAGTAGGCAAAATAGAAACTTGTTACTTAATTAGCCAGAAACTGACTAGTATTTGCATGTACTCTGCAAAGTGCTATACCTCTAATGTCATGCCCAGAAACTATTTGAAAAGTAAAGAAGGTGATGTTTAACAACAAGATTGCTGAGGATGAAAACCCTGGGTTAAAAATCCACGTGGTATGAATGTGGGCAAATTACATACCACTCTAATTCTTATTTCCTCTTCTGTAAAATCAGGATGATAATAACTACTTGACAAAACTGTTGTTAGGATTAAAAGATATAATTTATGCTGAAGCACAATACTTGAAACACAATAGGATCTCAAAAACATGGTGGCTAGTCTTGTCATAGCCAGACCTTTTTTCTTTGAAACACACCTGACTAAAGGCAGACAACAAACTCAGGAATAGACCTAGGGACCTTGTGGAGTGTTTTGAACATAGATTTTTATCATATAGCAATCTTACATAATATGAAAATAAAGGAAAATGGAAATATAAGCCAAAATACAATGACAATATAAGCAAAACCAGTTTGACTATTCTGAATAAGTTTGGCCTAAGAATGTTTTAATTACTGCTTTTCTGTAGAATATTCTTGTGCTATCAATGGCATTGGCCATGCAGTGTTTCTGAAAAGTGCACTAATATTTTCTTTGAGATTTTTCTCCCAAGCCCCAGACTCTCATTCTGCATGTGTTAATGGTAGCAATTTCTTGATTTTATCATGCATCAAGAAGGGTTTCAGCAAACAAATAAAACTCATATTCCTTCATTAAGTGTCCCTTAAATGACTTGTTGGTAAAAGCATCAAGGGACTGCAATTATCAAATGATGTCTTAACAACAACACCCAAGGTTGTGCACACATAGACAATGACATACAGTTAAAACTCTCTTTTGCTAACAGAAATTGTAGAACATTATGTATTCCCTTTTCATATAGACTCATAATGTTAAAAAAAGTGTTTTGGAATTGATGAAATACAGTAAGCTTTGAACATCCAGGGAAATGAGAGAGCACTGTGATAATGAAAAGAACATCAGCTTTAGAGTTAAACAAACTTGTGTCTAAATGCCTGTCCTACCCCTATCTCTGTGACTTTGCATTAAGCATAGTTTCTCAGAGCCTCAGTTTTCTCTTTGTTGAATAAGGATAACAATGTACTCCTTGAGGGATTAGGAGAAATGAACCATTGTATATGTAAAAGTATCATTGATACCCTAATTTTCATCTTTTCTTCATCAGTTGCCTTCTGATAAACCTTCAAGAGCAAGGTGTTTAGAGAAAAGACTTCCCTACCTACTCCTTCCTCGCTCCTGGCATCATGCAATGAGTCAGGCCTACCACTGCTATAAGGGGAGGAGGGGAAAAGAGACTTGGATTATTTCAAGAATTTTTTTGTCCTAAATATTATAACTAACTTCTCATATATTTATTCCAATGTATTGGTTGCCTAAAAGGTGGAACTAAGTACTGTACCATCTGACTGATAGAACATAAGGACAATGAAAGCATGGGAGAGACTTCCGAGGAGATGCAACAGATAATTAGTGCTGTCTGCAAGTATCTGCTCAGAGCAGATAACATTACTTCAAGGAAAGGATTTCTCCCATATTAGCTCTCATGTATCTCTAAAGGGAAAGTACACTCACTAATAGCTTTGTTTTCCTCTTGCCAACAATTGTTTTTAAAGTTTGAAAATATGGGCGTGAAAAAGAATATCACCTTATGTTTTTCTCCAAATGAAAGAATTGTTGGTTATTAGGTAAGGAAATCACTGAAGTGCCTCCTGCCCAGGTAGTACAAAAGAAGAAAGAAGGCACAGGCAGAGGAGTCCCTTAGCTCAGTCCATCCTCCATCTGCTCGCTGACTGACTCCTGCACGTGGCTTCTACTTTGCTGGAGCCAAACAGAACTACTTGACATGAACATCCATAACCTACCAAGCACACATCCTTTTTCCTCTGCTCAGGATTAATTATTTGCTATTTTTGCCCACCTTATTTCTTCTCATTTTTTAAGAATCAGATCAAGATCAAGTAATCTGAAAAGCTGCTCCTCATTTGTTCAACCCAAATTTTTTCCCATATGTGTGTACATTGGTAAGGACATTTTTTTAGGTTTATTTATTTGCTTATTTTGAAAGACACAGAGACAGTGGGAGCAGGAGAGGGGTGGAGAGAGGGGGAGAGAGAGAATTCCAAGCAGGCTCCACACCATCAGCACAGAGATCAATGCAGGGCTTGAACTCACAAACTGCAAGATCATAACCTGAGCCAAAACCAGGAGTCAGACATTTAATTGACTGGGCCACCCAGATGCCCCTACATTGATAATAATATTAATAATGATAGAATTGTAAGCACCTACAATGTGTGAGGTTGTTTGCCTTTATTATATAAGCCTCATAACGTTTCTGAAACAAAAGTATGATCTCTAATTTTGTAAAAGCACACAGAAGCCAAATAAGCTTTCCAAGCTGACACAGTAGCTAAGAAGTAGGGCCTGGATTTGAACCCAGACTCTTCTGATTCTAAAGCTCATATTCTTTTTTAAGTTCATTTATTTATTTTGAAAGAGAGAGAGCGAGAGCGAGAGCGTGCATATGAGTGGGGGAAAGGCAGAGAGAAGGAGAGAAAGAGGATTCCAAGCAGGTTCCACACCATCAGCTTGGAGCTGTGGGGCTTGAACCCATGAACTGTGAGATCATGACCTGAGCCAAAATCAAGAGTTGGATGCTTAACTGACTGAGCCACCTAGGCACTAATCTGAAGCTTATACTCTTTCTTTTATATCATATTACCTTCATAAATGACACCATTCTGTACTCTGTGTGTGATTGTGTGCATATATATATTCGTCTTTCTATTATTTTTGTTGCCAGAATATTTAAGGGCAGATATCATACCTT